CATCTCGGTTACAGCGATGGGTGTTTGCTCTTCAAAAGTATAATATAACTTTAAAACATTGCCCTGGTTCCAAAATGTTGCATGCGGATGCATTATCTCGCCTGTTTCCAAGTACTATGACTTAAATATTGACTGTTTACTTTTTGATAATTTAAAGTTTTTTATTTATTTATATATTTTGATTTTATAAGCAAGTTATAAATTTTAATAGTTTAATGCTACGTTATGTTAAATAATTGAGTGCATTATCTGCTTATTGAAAATGTTTTATTATTTGAACTAACTGCATTATTTGAAATATTCGTTAATATTAGTGATGAATGTTAATTGTCAGTTTAGTTCATATATTTATGATATAGTTGCTTAAAATCAATTTATATGGTTTGTCAGATTAAGTATCAAGGGAGATACTTCAATCTTGCGTGGGGAGTGTAGTGTGCAGACATCTTCGCCAGAGGGCGCTTCGCACACTCACCTCCGAAAAAGTAATTAAAATAAGAGAGAAGCGTTCTCGGAAATGGCATGAGAAGTCATGTCACTAACTTACCTTTTATTTCATATTTTTTTTATACATGTTTAAAATAAAAAGTGTTGTCCATATAAGTGATAATTATTCATGAGAACCAATCACATTTATTCATAAAGGAATATTACAATAACCATTATATATGATTATGTTTATTATATGATTACGTAGAGCAGAACTGAAACACCAAATCCGTGATACATTTACTCTCTCTTTTTCATGTGAAATTACCCATTTAAGAAGAAACTTTATACACCAACAATAATTCATTTAAATAATGATGATTTGCGTAAATAAAGATCATTTTTGTCTTAATACGAGCAAATTAACTGAAATTTACATTTTTAACAATAAAATTGTTAAAAAATTATTCTTGAAAGAAGTTTCATTAAAAATTTCCTTAATATTTTATTATTCTCAGTAATGGAATCTTTAACTGAACAAAAAACATAATTTTAAGAATGGGGCAATATTGGAAGGAAAAGACACGTTCAGTAACATTGAAGAGAGAAAAAAATTCTGCCTATTTTTTTAGTCGTTTTTTTTATCATAATTTAATTGGATGCTAAAATTGTGTTAATTAATTTTATACTAATTAATTTTGTGAAAGCTTTTCTCATGAATAATTTTTCTGAATTTAAAGTATTAATTTTTAAAAATTTTAATGCTGAAATTATAAATGCTGTTGATAGAGGTAAAAAATTAATCCAATCAACACTATTGTAATTTATCATTTCTTAAAAATGAGAATATTTCTCTTTATCAATTGAATATTTTTATTTTCTGTTTTAAGCATGACAATTTCGATTTAAATCCAGATAAATTAAACTAGAACAAGATGAGAAAAACACTACACATAAAACTACTTAAATTTTATTTATTTTTCCACATTTTGTATTTTATTTTTCTCTTTAAGAATCCGAAGCAAATAAAATTCATTGTCAAGACAGGAATAAAATTCATTGTCAAGAGTTTTAATCTTGTAAGAGTTTTAATGAGTAATTACGATTTATATCTGACTTTATTTACTTTCTATATTTAGTCATGTATTATTAAATGTTCTTTCCTCACGTTTTAATTTTCAAACTTCATAGTTTTCTTTGATTTTTTGTTAGTTATTTTTAAAAGTATTATTTTCTTCGGATTTTCATTTTCTCTATAATAATTTTTATTCCTCAGCCCTTGTTATTTTTCAAACATTTTTAGGCTAAATGGGACCTTTTTTTTATTTTTGTGATTAATTTTGTAACCCGTAACTCGTAATTCTCATTAATAAAATAATAAGTCTTAATACAAAGTATGTTATAATTTTTAAAAGTACAGCAAATTTTTCAGATTTAGGTTTTGTTTAATTGTAATAATTTTTTTACATTTCGTTTTTATCGGATTTTAGCTTTTACATTGTTTATGTTAATGATATTTTTGTTAATTGTTTTCTCTATATTTTGTTAGAATAATTTAAATTCTTTAAATATATTTCATTCAATTTATACTTGAAATTTTTTAAATATTCTTAAAAGTATATAACATAATTTCCCAATATCATTTGGTTTTTCAAAAGATTCTTTTAAATTTCCATTAGTCTTTTTCGCTATCCAGCTATCCAATTTTGTTTTGAATAGCTGTAATTCAAAAAATAATATTACATTGTTAAGTTAAAAAAAAATAACCATGTAACCTCTAATATACAATAAAATTTTGGTTATAATTTTACAGTTAGCAATGTGTTTAGATTATACTTCTGTAAATAAAAAACATATTTAAATATGACACGTTGGAAGTTGTATATATATATATATATTACTTTGTGTATCTGCATATATTTTTCTTTTTAAGTAATCGTAATTTTTACCCTGGGATAAACCAGAGAAATCAGATGAGTTGTTAAAATTAAAAGTAATTTTGAAATGAAAATTAATTCCTTCATTTGTTTAAATTTTTTGATCCCTTGTCCTTTATCATGAAAACTTAATTAATATGATAAAGTTAATTCTACATCATTGAATTACTGCATATTTATATGTTTTAAGTTGTATATATATTTTTTTCTTTGTAATAATTTTTACCTTGGAATAAACCAGAGAAATCAGAAAACTTGTTAAAATTCAAAGTCATTATAAAATAAGATTCAATTTGAGAAATTAATCTCTTTTACGTTCTTCATTTGTTTTAATGTTTTTATACCTTGTGCTTTATCATTAAAATCAAATTACAGTAGGGAACCGATTATCCGGAACTATCGGGACCTTCGCTATTCCGGATAACTGATTTTTCCGGTTTTCTGAATCGCTACAAAAAGCCGTTTTTTTTATTGTCAAATTCAACTAAAAAAATATATTTGGAAATAATCTTGAAAAGAAGAAAAAAAACGATGAAGTAATACACTAATGATTGTTTCCAAAATGATGGTAAGGTTCACATCTTTCAAAAAAGAAAGAAAAATCTTGAAATCTTATGAGGAGAAAAACATTTGTTTTTTCAAAAATGGCGGGAAAATTTATCGAATTTCGTTCCGGTTATTTGGTTTTCCGGTTTTCTGATTTCCGGATAACGGGTTCTGTACTGTAATATGATTAAGTTAATTTTCATTTTTTGTATACTGAAAATTTGTATTCATTATTAAATTCTAATCTATGCCAGAATCAAAATGTAAATCACAAATTATTCTTAATTCAGTGTGTTTTTGAGGAGCGAAAAACCATTTTATGGCCTTATGATTAAAAGTATCTATAAAATATATGTTGCCCAGCATTAACAAATTTAAAGGAGCAAAATTACAAATTTCATTAATTAAATTTTAATACATTTTTTTTTCTTTTTAATTTGTTTCCCATTGATAAATCATTTTTTGTTAACTAAATTGGTGTGAATGTAATAGTTAAGTCCTAGTCGTCATAAGCAACGGAAATAGTTTAGATAATTGCAATTAGATAAATCACAATATTAAAATAATACAACTAATTTTAAAATATTAAATCGGGCAAAGTTTATGACTTTGCATTGGCTCGCCTCCTCAGTCAAAAAAAAGTTGGCACGCCACTGTTCATCATTTTGAAATAATAATCTCCCTTTTATTCATTTGAGTTCATAAAGATAAAAATTAATTACTGCTTTATAATTGTGGGAGTTTGTACCTAAAGGATGTAAGTATGTAAGAACTAATTATATGAAGTCTGTTAGGTTTTTTATTGTCTTATTTTACTGAATTAGTTATTGAAATGCTCAATGCTCTTGAGTTATTTTATAAAAAAAATTGTTTTAAGTTTTAAGGTCAAGACTTTAAAAAAAATATGAATTGAGAGGCACTTGACTTATTTAATGCTTAAGAAATGCTGTACGTCAAATTTGTGATTTCAAAAGAAAATTTCATTCTTCTCTTTATCATTTTATTAAAAGCATTTGAGAGTAACAATTCCATAATCTCAGATTTGTTAAATATAATAAATGTAGGGACTGTATAATAAATTACTTCCGATTAAAAAAACCACTTCAATACTTACTATATTTTCTTTTCAAAATTATTTAAACTATTTTGTAGTTTGATTAAAAAAGTATTGAGCTGAATTACTTCATTTATTGGGAAGCCATTGACTAATTTATATTTTTAATAAGAATGTATTTATGTTTTCTTTGTAAGCTTAATTGTCTACACATGCCAATCAGTATGATCAAAAAAATTAATTCTTATGAACATTTTTTTTTCTATATACATTTATTAATAATTTTTACTTAATTTGAAAAATTACACACAATATTTTTTTTTAAATTAAAGTGTAACTAACTGTAATTTTAAAATAAAATGAACTATTTTGCATAATTGAATAAAGTACATAATTATGTTTTTATGCTGGTTGCTGTTTAATAAAATTAAGGACAGAGTTCTTTGCCAATAAAAAATTATTTATTTATCATGATTGTGTAAATGTTTTTGCAATTCGTTAATTTTATGTTTATATATAAAGCACTTTCAATAATATAAGGAAAGAAATTTATTGGTATGCAATTTTGTTTAATAAAGTGTGTAAAAATATTTTTTTAAGGTTTTTTTTTGTTAAAAAAATTTGGCTGCACACCCTGATTTTACTAATTTAAGTTAGAATCTTTAAAATAATGTAAAAATTTATATGCTGTGCATTCAAATTTTTTAGATTATTATTAAATAAAATAATTTAAAATAATCAATAATTTATTTGCCAGATAAATGTGAGCATAAATATTGTAATTTTAATCGGCATTTAGAGTATGATTGCTTTGATAAGCTTAACTTTAAGAACTAAATTATTTATAATGTATAATTTATTTTCTATGTTTGGTTTGAAATTAAAATGGAGAAGTTCATTAAAAAACATTAAATTTTAGTGTTAAAAATGTATTTTATGAGAAAAAAACTGACATTTTGTTTTTGATATTCCATTTGTTATTCTGTCAATATAAATTTGTTTTCTTCTCATCCAAAGTGTCTTCTTTTTTTAAGGGTGTTCTTGAAATAACTGCTCCTGATGAAAATTTCATCCGTGTTGACAAAAAAGGATTATTCGGGCATGGAGGCATGCTGTTTTGGTTTATTAGTTCCATAATTTTCAGTTTGGTAAGTTAACCCTATTTAGAATATCAAAATCTATTGATTGTTTACTTTTTAGCTTTTCAAACATGTAAAATCAAAAATTCTTTTATTTAAATTTTTATAAAAAAATTATTTTGAATTTGTGATAATTTTTTAAGTAGAGCTGTTCTGAAATTTTTAACAATAAAATGATGCTTGAATTCTTTAAAAACAATCTTTTATCTTTTTTTGAAAACTACAAATTTATATAGGTTTTTCATTCTCACAGACAATTCTGCATCATTTGAACAAGTTTATATCATTTTTTATGTTATACATGGACAAATTAATGTAATTTTTTATGAATTTCTCCATTACCAAAATTGAAATTTATATAATTTATTCTTAATTAGAAAATTTTAAACTTTCCGGTTTTCTCTATTTGTTTCGTCGGTTCATTTAAAAATATCACCATTGTATTTACTTTATCGTAATCAAAATCATTCACAAAGCTAGGATATGAATATCTTTTTCCTGTCCACTATCTTTATGTATTAAATCTTTTACCCTTCACATTTTTCTTGTGCACTTTATTGTTTCTTCATATTTTTCCACTGAATTATTACATTTATTGTTTGAGTTTACAATTACAAAATACTAAATTCATTAAAAATTTTCAACTGCATTTAAGTAATGTAATTCTTTAACATTTAATAATTTGTTTAAAATGTAAATATTTTTTTATTTTAGATTTATCTTATTGTTTTAATTTTACCCTGGACAAAACTAAGAGAAAAGCTTGCTCTACCTAGTAAGTTTTAGATTTAAAACTATTGTATGTAAATGTATCTTTTTTAGATTGAGTTCACTTTATGCAGTGCAACAATTTCTTTATAATATGTATGAGTAGTCCATTTTGTTAAAATATGTATGAATAGTCCATTTTGTTAAGTCCAAAAATATGTTTAATATTGTTGAGTGTTTATTTTAATTATAAGAATTTTTTAAATTAAGTCATGTTAATAAGTTATCTCTTTTAAAGTTATTATTATATCAGCAAAATGTCCTCACAGATTGTGACTTGATGAATGTCCTCACAGATTGTGACAGATTGTGACCCAAGGATATTTTGCAGAGTTTTATTAACTTTTCAACCCTTTTTTAATTACATTACATTTAAACTAAACTGCTGATATAATTATTTAGAGTTTATTAAGCAACAATAATGCTTTTAAAATTATACCTGGTCAATTCTATCATAAAAATAAAGTGTGAGGTTAAAAAAACGTGTGGCATAGTTAAAAAATACTAAAATATGAGCATATATGAATGCATTTTTATAAAAGATCTACCAATAACATATTTTTATTTTGCAGCTAAACCTTCATTTTATTGGTACATATTATTCTTAGACGTATTAAATATTTCCCAAGCTGTTGGAAGTGGTTTATTGTACTATAGAGAAGAAAATGGATTATGGTAAATTTTTGCATTTTTAGTTATCTTTATGGGACTGTTTGTTGTCAAATTTAAGCATTCAAAATTTAAAATTAAGAATTTTTTTTCTTTTTTATGATTAATGAAATTCTTATTGAAGTATTGATCCATTTTTATAAGGGTTGTCCAAAATTTTTAAGTGCTAAATATTGAAGATTCAGGAAATTATTTTATTTATTTAAAATTATTATTATTTAGAATGCAAGTTTGCTTGAGGGAAAGTTAACATTAGGAACTCCTGCATAGAATATGGTTTTAAAAAAAGGTGTTCTATTTAAAAAAATTTAAGCTACTCTATTAGTGGAACTAGTTTAATATTATTAAATAAAGTTAAAGCAATTTCTTATGTAAAAATTTTTATTTCATGAACTAAATTTAATTCTGTCTAATTTAATATTAAAAATAAATTAAGCAACTTTTTATTTTTAATCATTATAAATTTGATTTGGGTGTATGTGTTATGAATTCATAAACATTCACAAAATTACAGTTAAGCAGAGAATGTTATGAATGTCTGCAGTACAGTGATACAATTTTTTAATGATAACACAGGCTTAAAAATTGTTTATTGAATCCATTTGAAATACAGTAGAGCCCCAATTATGTGTGAATACCATAACAAAATCAAAAACTATGTTGCACTTCATCAGTCATTGGTTTTTTTTTTTTAAAAAGTGTAACTGAACACTTTTTTTGTATGAATTTGTATGTATGAACGCTTTTATGAAATATGTATGTAGTTGTCCTTTACTATTCATTGTATCAGTGATTTAGACATGGAACAAATATTTCTGTTATTTCTTTAAAATATATGCATGTGTATGAATACATTTTAAAATTCATATTTTTACCTTACTTTTTTAGTTTTTCAAAATATCCGCAATGCCTCTGCCACACAATTCCATGAATAAATGGGGCTGTGCTATATGGTATTACTTTTTTTCAGTCACATAAGAATTTTTCACAAAATTAGCTTAAATTTGTGGAGAAAAATGCAGTACAGATGTGTGCAAATACGGCAGAATGTTAATGTGCAGACGTTAATGAATCAAAAGTTAAATTTTTGTATGTAATTTCATTTTTCTAAACTATTAGTTGTATCAACTTGATTTGGTTATTATAGGACATAAAAAAGTACTGAAGAAACAATGCCTCACTGGTCCACATGGTTGTGTCAGATGTAAATAAGTCAAAAATCAGATGCATAAAAAATTTACAAATGAGTACAGAAATTACGTTTTATACATGAAGTATAATTAACTTCAAAACTGTTACCCTATCAACTTGAGATTTGTCTTATTCAGGGAAATATGTTTTTGAAATAATACCATAGTTCTCTAGATAGGGATATTTATGTTTCTTCCCTTGAATAGGAACGCTTTTAAACTGTGATCCATAAGATAAAAACAATGTAATTTTTGTTACTATAAAATTTGTCTTCATTTATTTGCATCTCAGAATAGTATAAATATATCCAGTTTTAGTAATTAGGAAGGCTTTATGATGCTAAATACATTATGATACTAAATACTTTTTATTAATAGATAACAATTTAACATTTTACTAAAAAAAAATCAAAATTTTCAATTTTGTGAGGAAAAAAACATATGAAAGAATTTTTCACTGTTTTTTCTTGAAATTAGTATCAAAAATCTATCAAATCAGCTATTGGTTTCTAAAAAATATCTATACTTTATTGTGGCTAACTATATTATGACTTTCTTTACAAGATTATGGCTACAAAAATTAAAATTTTCATTGTGAAAATGACATATGAGAGAATTTTTTCGCTCTTTTTCCTGAAATTACTATCAAAAGTCTATAGCATCAACTACAGTGTAAAGTCGCGTATCCGCGTTTGTATAATTGACCCCCAAGGTAAACAAAGCTTAAAATGAATTAATAAACGATCTGAATCTAAGAAGCAAAAAATAAATAAACACTATTTTTAAGGGGAATAATGTTTTAACATTAAAATATCTAATCAATCAAATATAAAATATTAGAAAAAAAATATTATTGCTGAAAATATGGAAAACGAAAAAAATTTAACAGTTACGAAAATATTAATCCTCCATTTTGAACTAGAACGATTCAAGCAGGAAGGGGAAATTCTGGAACAAAGCTTAAAATGATCTAAATCTAAGAAGCAAAAAATAAATAAACATTATTTTTAAGGGGAATAATGTTTTAGTATTAGAATATCTAATCAATAAAACATGAAATATTAGAAAAAAANTATTTTTTGGGCAATAATGTTTTACTATTAGAATGATATCTAATCAATCAAAAACAAACTTTTAGAAAAAAAATAATTATTACTTAAAATATAGAAAACGAAAAAAATTCTGACAGCTATGAAAACATTAATTGCTCTCTCCGCAATTTTGAACTAGAACGATTCAAGCAAGGTTTATTTAGGTGGTTAGGTGGAGGAGAAAAATTCATTTCCTCCTTATTTGTCATTCCAGTTGAAGGCAGGAAAGTGATAAATTCTAGTTTTCTCCCTTATCATTGGCTATCAATCTAGCAAAAAGGCATGGCATGCTGATTGAGTTCTCAATTTTTTGTTTGACTGAAAGTGACTCTCCCTCCATGTAAACATTTGCTGCATTTACCCTTTTTCACAGTATTTCTTCTTTCCCCATCACTATAATAAAAAGGTTCCAGGAAATGCCTCTTTTGCTAGGTAGCCACCTGCATAGGAAAGAAAGGGGGAGGGGACTCAGTTGTGCTCTTTTGAAAACAAATCTCCCTCCTTTCCTGCATTCCATAGGAGGAGCGTCAATAACAGTCACTCCATGGTCTTGATAGATCTTTTCTCCCCTTTCTCCATTTATGGGTTCAATGCAAAAATCATTAGAAACTAGAAAAGGAAAAAAACATGTCAAAAGACTTCTGTTTCTTTGTTGTTGTTGTTTTTTTAAAGAGAGGGGATGATGAAGAAATGTTTGTTTATTTTGATTGTTAAAAAGCATCCGGGAAATCGACCCTTCCAGGAAAGGGACGTCCGGATATGGGACGTTACACTGTATTGGTTTCTAAACAACATTTTGGTTGCAGACTTGTGTTATCATTGTCCTTGCATATTATTATTTTAGTATTTTTATATTAATTATTTCATTCAAAATTACTACTTTTTTTAAAAAAAAATGCAGTAAGGAAGATTTTCTTGACTGAAGAGTAAACATTAGTGTAGTTAACTTAAGGGTACACTTAGAGAGTAAACTTTAATAAACAGCGACTGACACTTAAACAGAAATGTGTTAATAAACATTTCTATATTGTAGTATATCGGAATAAAAAGAAAAGAGTTTGAGGCTTTTATTTTCCTTGTTTTTAGGTATTCTTTTTTAATTGTTTCTCTGAAGTAATAAAAAGTATCTTTTTTCCTCTTTTTATTAGTGTTGTTGACATGACTGCATATATATATTTCACTCTCTTCACCCCATTGGTGTATAGAACATTCTTAGCTGATTTTTTCAGGTAGTCAAGTATAATACTTCAGATTATAAATTAAATAAGTAATAAATAAATTATTTTAAATAAATCAATCTTGAAATTTTTTTAGCGTTTCTCAACCAAGTATTATGTTTTCATACAAAGCTCAAGTAGATGATGCTGTGGAAGATGACAATGTCAGCTTGCCTCATCAGCTTTCTTGTTCATCTTTAAAAACTGATTCTGATTATATATACCAAGTAAGAAATTTGCCTTAATTACAATAAAACTTATATTTAATGATAATTATTTGCCATATAATTAAACATGTTAAAATTATGTACCCTAAATTCAAATTCATTAAATTTAAGATAAGATATATGTATAAGATGTTCTCTAAAATTTTCAGAACACAGTTTTTTTTAGTTGTATGGAAATAATTTAGCTCAATAATTCATTAAATTCATTCATTTGATTTATATGCAATATTATCAATCATTATCATCATATCAATTAGCTTATATATCAATAGATTGTAAATAAATTTGCTTTTTCTACAACCCACTGCTAAGATTTTATTATAACTTTGGTTTAACACCTCATCGTTTTGAGTTGTTTAATCTTCAAGTTATTTAAGTAAATTAGTATAAAAAAAATTTCTGCAGAAGAGTGTTTCTCCATTGAATAATAACATGGAAAAAAGGGTCTGTTGTGTGAGAAAGCAACTTTCTAAGTGGAGAATGTAGTTGACATTTAAAGGGATCTAAGCCTGCATTGAAAATAAGGAATAAACATTCTTACCTAATTCAGAAAATTTTAATACAGCTTAATAAGCTTAATATTTATAACTATAAAATATTTTCTCATACCTAAACTCCTTTATTGTATATAAAGAATATATATTGATACATCTCATGACTTATCTTTTGTAAGATTATTAAATTATGTAATTATAGAAAATTTTATTTATTTTGTCTGCATTTTTATTTTAAAACAGCTAATTAACTATTGCTCAAGAAGGTTATAAAATTTGTAAAAAATGTTTTTTCTATAGTTAACAATTTTGTTGCCCATTACCACAAATAACCCATTTTGGTTTCAATTTTTTTTATCATTTGTATAAATTATTATAACTCTTCTTCAGAACAAAAAGAATGAAAACCATTTACTATATGGCATTCTTTAATTTTTAAAAAAATAATTATTGAAAATATAGCATATTATTTGATTAGAAAATGATTTTTATTAATAAAATATTTTTTTGCAGAACAATTCCTTATATGACAGCACTCATTTTGATGCTGTAAACGTTAACCCTCTATACATTCATTCCCTACAATCACCTGACAGTTTGAATGGATTCGAAGCTCCTAGCGTGACTGGCAGCATAAACTCAAGCCCTGCTCCTCAACAACAATATCAACAAACACCATTGTCATCCAATAATAAACAAACATCACCTTAAATTCTCTATGATTATTCAATAACATTTTAATAGAAAGTCAATTTCTTAATTAGTAAGACTTTTTGATATTATGAAACATAAATTAAGTATTGTTTTTATAGCGTTAATTATAAGGTTGTTATATTTTTTCCCATACTCACTCTTTTGTTTTGTAATAAATTGCCATGAGTTATTTCTAGTATAGAATAGTCTATAGCTCTAACTTTTTATAAAGTAAAATATTATTTGTGCATATAATATGGTTAATAGTTTTCTTATTTTAGGATAAATTGTTGTAAATATTGTGCATTGTTATAAGATTTTGCACACTTTTATGGAAGAAAGAACAATAGTACTGATCATTTAACCACCATATATTAGCATTCACTGAAAACAGTCTGTAGAAAATGATGCTTTTGTTTGTATTTAGCATCAGCATTTAAGTTATTGTATATTAAAGTTAATTATTACACAACACAGTCTGAATTTTCATTAATTAACAATGTAGTCATCTTGTATTTATTTAACATGTATTTATAACTGACTCATATAACTTAAATGATCTTTGAATTCTATAAAATTTATAATTTTGCTATTATTTTATGATACCTTTAATTGCAACATATTTTCTTATAACAATTTTTAATTTATTTTAACAAATTATTTAATGTATAATTACTCTTTTTTATTTAAAAGAGACAAATCATGAATCAATATCAGTGATGACTCAATCTATCAATAAATCAATATCATTTGCTTATGATAGAGCATCTTTCTCTTAGTAAGTGTGATTTATGAATGCTTGTTATGATTTAACTTAATTTTATTATGGAAATTTTATTTATCTTCCTCCCAAAATTAGTAGGAAAAAAATTATACTATAATAAATTATTTTTCTTTAAAAAGGTTGTAATTTTGAAGAAAAAAAATCCAATAATTAGTACATTATATGGAGAAACTACTTATCTAATTAGAGTTCATTCAACTATGCAATATAGGGGAAACATTGTCGAAGCATTTGATTAGTTACTATGTTCTTCCCAACAATCAATGATATATTTAATACTTTTTTATAATATAAGCTGTGAAGAGAAAAATTCAGTAAGTCAAAAACAATCTATTTTTTAAAATATTTAGTCTTTTGTGGAAAATTTGGCAAAGTTATAAATTACCCCTTAAGGCATTTTTTCATCACATTTGACTTGTATTGATCATGTTCAAAACTATTGTAACTGTGCCATTTATCGTTGAACAGTTTTTAATGGTATTCTATTGAAGATAGCTCAAAACAGAGACTTTCATTTGTCTGTAAAAGTCAAGAAAGTATCAGAGAATTTTATTCAAATAAGCTAAATATCAGGAAAAATGCTTGATTTCAATTTGAAGTACTTTAGTCTTATCAACTAGGTATATTTTGGGGTAAAAAAAGACATGCACAATTTACTAATACCGTTTCACTTTATACCAATAAATAGAAATCTACTAAAAGTTTGCTTGCCTCATTAATGAAGTTATCTGTAAAAAAAAATCTTATTATTATTTTTTTTAACTGTTTAAGCGAAAATTGATTGAACATTTAATATGAAATATCATATTATTAAAAATATTTGTCCTCATTATTAAAAAACAGCATTTAATCTTAGACAGTTACACTAATTTGACAGTAACACTACCATTTTGTCAAGTTTATATGTCATTAATAGATGCATAAAAAAGGGGTTATTCATTATATCGCTTTACTGTTATCTACTGAATTCTTTCACATAATGCTGTTTGGTTTATGCTTGTAATATAATTTAAAAATGAAAACATTTTTATCAACTTCAGTTGTATATACAAGAGTTTTACACATGAGCAAGAAAGAACTGAAAAATAATTAATAAATTTTATACCAGCAGTCAAGGAGATTTGATAACAATCAGTTCAGAATAATCAGGGAAAAGTCGGAAATTTTTTTTCTGGTTATTTGTGAAAATCCTGTCTATCAAAAAATGTAGTAATTTTACAACAGGAAACTAGCTTACATTGCACTTGCCCATAATTAATGATATTTTTAATACATTTATCTATGCAATATTTGTCAAACATTGTTTATTTAAGTTTTAAAATTTTTTTTATAAGCATTAATAACTGACTAGCAAAACAATCAATATTAGCAGCTAATAGTAAAAGTACTGTACGATAAAAAAAAAACTACTTTTTTCTCATTTTTGTGTGGAAGGTTTTACATATTTTCTATTATTGAATGAAAGTAGTGTTTTTCTACAACTACAATTACTCAATATTGAACTTATTTTAAACTGTAGTGATGGATTGTGTGATTTCCATTTGAGCACGTTACAATGGTGCTAAATGTCATTAATTATTTTCTAAAAAGTTGACTATTAATTTCAGTTTTCAACAAGGCACATAATAAATATGTATTAAATGTATTTAGCTCTGTAGTTTATGTCTAACAAAATACATATTTTTAATAACTTATTTTATTCTTCACAATCGACAAATAAAACAATTTAAAATTCATTTACTAATAAATTGTACAATTTTATTTATTTACTATCTGACTGATATAATTCTTTTTAATAAGAAGTGGTAAAGTTAGTTGCCTAATATTTGAATATGTATTGTTCAGATTGAATTATTCTTTTGTTTTTATTTTTATAATCAGCAGTCATTTTCTGCAATAACTCAAAATAATATTGCACTTTTGTTAGTGTTCCTGTAAAGTGTTCTTATCATTTATAAGAAGATGACTCATATGAGATTTTTTGTACTTCAATATAAAATGCATTTTCCAGTAGAATTTTAGATAGCTCTCTCATAAATATTTTTACACCACTGCTAGTGTTAAGTTATGCTGAAATTGATGTACAACTTTTCCTCTTTTGATAATTGAAAACTATAGTTATAATTAGGGTTGTGGCATGAGGAAGAAAAGACTTAAATCCACGAAAAATTTTGAAAAGTTCAAAGAAACACAAATATAATTAAAATTATGTATTGATAGCCGTGGACATCGTGCAAATAGTAAAATGAAAAAGTAAAAAAGAATTTTTAAAAAATTTTTTCTTTTAATTAATGCGATATTAATATTTTTTTATTCAAATAAGCAAAATCTTGTACATAGTTTAATTAGTCTCAGAAATATTTTGTTGTTCATCAAGTGCGATGTGTTTTCAACACAAAGGATTTATAAATTTTATTGCACACTCAAATAGACTATGTTACACTATAATTATAGTAGGCTTTCTGATTAAAAAGGGAACTTATTAAAAAAATTCTTTCTTTCGTGTTCTTATTAAACTTTAGGGAAGCATGTTTATTGTTATTACTTTATCATCCAAGAATTTCATGGACTTAAGAAAAATATTAATAATCATGGAAATCCATGATGTACCAAGCTTGCAACCCTACTTATAATTATGATAAATGTCTTGCTTTTTTACCAGAAATCGAAGGACTTAATGTGAAATAATTAGACTGGTAACATTTATTATAAATCTATTGCAAGTACCTAAATTAGGATGAATAAAATCTCAATTTTTGTCCAAGATCTACATCTAAAATATATTTAGGATTTCATAAACTCTAATTTTTCCATGTTAAATGCTTCATTAAGAGAATAAATATATTGTAGTTACTGTTTAAATACTTATATCTTCATGCTTTAAGCAGATATATTTTTATTATATATGCTATTACATTTTCCCCTTTGATCATAAAAGTAGACACTTAAAAAATGTGAAATGATTCCATTGAACATTAAAATTATTACTTGCAATTTGTTTAGTACACCTTTTTCACTTTAGTCTTAAAATCTTCAAAAATCATGAACTTCACTTTTATTTCATTTAATTTACTAAATATAATAATAATGCATTAAAGGAAGTTTCAGTTTGTTTGTTGTAATCTTATTGCCCATTAGAACAATTATATTTTATACTTGTGAATTGCATTATTTGGTATATTTGCTGCTCCAAAAATTATTTTTAATGAATGAGCTAAAAGTAAAAAGCTGTAGGTCACACTTAAAATTCACCAAATGTGTTTTAACTTAAGAATAAGATAAAGCTAATTTTTTAATTAAACTTTTTTTATTATTTTTTAGAACTTCGTTTAAAATTAACTTGAGCCTGTGATAAAAAAAAATCTGCATTTACAACTGGTATAATTTTTCTTGGTTTTCCTAAAAGAAGACAAAACATTTTTTAGCTCTCTAGTGCCTATGTTAATGCTTAGCAATATGCATTTTAATAATTATATATTCCTTATAATTATGTATTTCTTTTTTTTTTTTTTTTTTTTTAGATATACTTTTTGTCAATTTTAATCTTGTTGACATGTAAATAAACTAAATTCTTATGAGGAGGTTTTGTTTAATCCATGAAGTAATGAGCATTACATTAAATCATTGGTTAAAATAGATATTTACCTTTTACTTTCTATTCGTTATATTCTCAGTAGCGAAATTAAATCAGCCTAACAAGGGGCATTGCAGATTTATATTTGCCTTGCAGATAAAAACTTGTAAATACAAATATCTAACCATGGACTGTGAAGATAAGTCTTAAAATTTTCCATGATGTTGCAGATCAATACAGAAGTTTCTGCTATTGGGCTTATATTTAGAAATACATTTTATATTAGAACCATAGTTGATATAGTAGTTTACAATTCCCATTTTGAGTCAAATGAAGCTGTTTTAAATTCTAACTTCTCACCTTTCTATTTCATTAAGATCTGATAAATGTCAAAGCACATGCAACTGAACCTGTTGAAAAATGTTTTTTAAAAGATATCTCATGCTAAAGGCATGGCTTGCTATCAATATATAATATCTTTTGTAATTTTTAATAAGTAATTTGCACTTGTTGACTGAGGTCTTTATATTAAACTTCTGCTAGTTGTATACTTTTATTTGCTATATCTATTAATTTATTAAAAATGTTATGTAATTTTATATATTTAAATTAACTTATTTAAATTAACTTATTTTATTTAAAATTAACTTTAATAATAAAGAATATAAAGGTCTAGCAAATAAAATATTTTTCCTTTCCTAACTTCAAATCAAAATTTCTTAGCTTATTAGTAGCTTCTGTTATAAGCAAATGTACTGCAAAATAATCCATTTTGTGTCTGTGAAATGTTTTGGGAAATATGTTATTGAATTTACTTCTTTAAATATTAGAATAATAAAGGCAATCGGGACATTTTAAAAAACCCTTTATTTTTCTCTTTCTTTCTTTTTTATTTTATTTTTTTAATTACATTAAAGAAATAAACAATTGTAAAATTTATCAAGTTGCTTTACTACTATAATTAATTTGAAATAATTTTATTGTTACTTATTTAAAATTATTATGTTTATATATATTTTTGTATAAAATTCTTTAATCATCTTACTTTTTTTAAATACTTGACCAAACTTGATTTAAAAAGCATTGTTAATATTACATTTATTTTAATGCAGATGTTATGAATTTTATTTTTAAAAAAAAGCCATTATGGTTAGTTAAACTTGGCACATGTCTTATCTTAAAGCATTGTAACTTTCCTTATTAATGATTGACTTAAGGCTTGATGTGAAATATTAATTAAATATTTTTGATTTTTACAGTGGTGTAAATAACACCTTCACAATCCCCGCTTGGGGGGAAGCCCACAAGGTTTTAGGGCGCCCGATCCGGGAATAAAACATTATATGATAGAGATGCAAAATCTGCTATACGTGGCAGCACCTGAACATAATAAAGAAGATTTTTTTTATAAAATAAAAATCTGAAATTTTTAATTTCTTATTTAAATTTTTTGCACTTCAAATCTAATGTAGTGTTTAGATTGCTTTTCTTGGTAGTGATCATTATGAATTTTCAAACTTTTAAAAAAAAAAACAATATTTTTAATATGCTAAAATTAGGTTGCATGAATTCTGAAATTTAACAATCTCTTTTGAAGCTCTTTATTTATGCCCATTTCCTAATTAGTCCAAGTAACTTTTCGGAGGTTATTGTCGGATTTTCATGCGTTTTTTAAATTCCTGGTCTTTTTAATATGTTATCGTAATGACTCTTGATCTATCACTTTTGACGTGCTTTATTTGTGTCAATTTTATTGTAAATTTAAGCAATTTTTTGATTGTTTTTTGGCACTTTCCACATAGTTTTGAAAATCCTGATATTTTTCATGTGTATTAATACTCAACTCATACATTTAAGTGTGCGCTTTATTTGTGCCGGTTTTAACAAAATTCTAAGATTTTTCTCTTTATCATTCTTTCAACAGCTATGCTTTTTCCTAGGGTTTCGAAAATTCTGAAATTTTTAAACTGGTATTATAAAAACTTGATTTTCGATTTGGGCATTTTAATTATGGTTGAAAGAATGATAAAGAGAAAATTCTAAGATTTTTCTCTTTATCATTCTTTCAACAGCTACGCTTTTTCCTAGGGTTTCGAAATTTCTGATATTTTTAAACCGGTATTATAAAAACTTGATTTTCGATTTGGGCATTTTAATCATTAACTTTATTTGTGCCGATTCATCGTCAATCCATGTTATTTCTCTCTTCTTTTTTTAGCAGTTGCTTTTACTTATTTCCCTTAAATCTCGTTATTTTTAATAAAATATTACAAAATGTGAAATTCAAATGTAGGTTTTAAAAAACTTTAGTGTTTTATCATATGATAAAAAAAAACATCACTTTTTCCACAACTTTAAATTCTTTTCGATAAAACTATTTTTGGAGGAAAAGGAAACATTTTTATTTTGAAAAGTATCAGTTTGGTGTTCTTAAATCTTAAATAATTTTAATATTTAAAAGAATTTAATTTATTGTGAATATTTATAACTATGTTGACTGATAGAAAGAATTGTGTCTGAAACACTAATGTTTACGTAAAATTATCATAATTGCCATCAACATGTCTATATACTTGGGCATGCTGCCCTTCATTCAGAAAGGTTGTGCACTTCTACTATATAAATAGCAATTTTTTTTCCTTTACTGATATATTTTTTTACTCACTTTTCAAAAAAAAAAATCTTACCAAAACTCTGAATTATTGTGAGGTAGTTAGTTATTTTCTCCTATTAAAATAAATTTCATGTGTGGTGAATCGGTAAGTGTTTATAATGTCCCAATGCAGTACTTTAGATCGCAATCATTGTTATTATTCCTTATTAATTAATATTAAAATTTATAAATTTAAATAAAAGGAATGGTTGTAAATACTCACAGGTCTCTTCATAGTTTTTTTTGTTTCATATTTTAATTTTAAAAAATTTGTGTTAAGTCTGAGATAGGGCACATTTATAAATATTGCAAGGGGGCACACCTAAATCTATGTACACCACTGGATTTTTAAATTACAGCTTTTATGCACTAAAGAACTATAACAATATATTAATAAATCATATATATGTTAATTTAACAATCAACCTAAATTAGAATTCATTTTTTTCATAATTTCCTTGAACATCAATTTGTTTTATTAGTGGAGTAGAACAAATTTTTTAGTACTGATTTCTATACTTAAAAATTTCTTTCAAAAAATTGATTCTAAATTCTGTGATTTTGTTTTCTATTTTTGTGCATGTTTGTAGTAATTTGAATGCTTTATATATATATATGTTCACTAAACATTTTACTTCATCTTAATCTTTGATTTAATCATCAATAACACCTATGCAATGATCATATAATCATTCATTCATAAACGGTTATATTTTTTTAAAAAATGAATAAATACTGACAGATGACTGCGACTTATTTGTGAATTGATTTTTAGATATTTTATTTTTCTGTTAAATTTTAATAGTACTTTATTTTACTTAACTTAAATGTATTTGTATTTGTTTCTAGATTTCAAATTTATAAGATAGAATNGTATATTTACAATAGCGTTAAAATGAGGAAATTCATATATATATATAGAAATACATACAAATTCTATCTTATAAATTTGCATCTTTAATCTGTTATAGATTATATTCCATTTATAAATTATCATCTTATAGAATTACACTCCTGGAAATGTTTAAACTTACAATTGTGCTATTCTTGTTTTTTTAAAAAAAATCATACTTACTGCAATTCTTTTAAAAAATTTATTCGTCAAAACTGTTGGTAATATTTTGATATATGATCAAAACTTTTGGAAATGGTTATATTTGCAATGTTTGTACAGTTTACAGTGAACTAAGGAAATTTAAAGCTTGGCTTCTTTTCGAATAACAATAATTTTAAAAATGTTTTTCTCATAAACTAACGTTTTTTTAAAAAGAAGTAAATGAAGTTCATATTATAATTAATGTCGGCATATTTACTTACAGAAATGCTTATTAAAACAAAAAGGTGATATTTTCAAAATAGTTATTAAAAATGAAACAGAGCTTTTAAATTCTCTAAGTATGAGTAACACAAATCTGAAAGTCTTGATCTTGATAACATAAAATGTACAATCGACTTTGCAGACAGAATTTTTAAGAACTGCTGTTTTTGAAATCATAATTATTCAAATAAACTAAGTTTTAAAATTCTTTCCGTGCTAGTTGTTAAAATACAATCATTTCCGAAAGAGGTGACTCTGTAAATTCAACTAAATATTAAATGTATGGTTTTGGATCATGATATCTTAAAATGTACAAATGACTTAGCGATATAAAATTTTTAAAACTACTGCATCATGTTATATTTTTGGTTCTACAAGGATAACACAACAGTAAGTCCAAATTTTCCAAAAGTTTATGTTTGCATTAAATATGTGTTAGAATATCATATCAGTGTTTTAATTTATTAAAAGCTTGTAAATATTTAAGTCAAATTGTATATATTTTATTTTTCTCTCAAGATTAGTTATGTAAACTACTTAATTGGGAATGCATACCAAAGGGACCGTTTCTGATGCTGTATACTCTTAATTAATAAAAATGCTTATTTATATTATTAGTTTTTTTTTTCTTTTAAATTTAGAGATACTTGTATATTTATGAAATTCGAATAAAATTATTATTTCTGAATATTCGGTGTTTTTATTCACTTTTTATGAAAGAAAAAAGCATAACTCTGCATTGAAAATTATTAACTGTTAAGCTTGTAGATAAAAATATTATGTGGATCACTTATCAAACTGCAAAAATGCAGCTACAGACTTGAAATTTTAATCACTGAAAAGGTAATTTTTGCTTATGAATTTAACAAACATTTTTTTTTTCTTTTTAAAATTTCCATATATGTTTTAAGTTTGCAATTTTAAGTGCTTATGTGTAGGTTTTCTTACTTTTTTGCTTTATGTTACTACATTTTGTTTTGTAGCTCAACAGCTATGAAATTTGGAAGCTTGAAATTACAAAGGCATGTAGAAAAAAAAATCAAGATTTGATTACAAGTTTGAGAAAAAAATCAACTGTAAAACTTTTAATAAAAACTCCTTGAGTTTAAAAAAAAAAACCGAACTTTTTTTAAAAAAGAAAAAAAAACATCCCACCTTGGTTTGGTTTTTAAAAAAAAGATTTCATTGGGCTTTTCAGTTAAAAAAAAGGGCTTTTTTGAAGAGGATTTCAAATTCCCGAGGGCTGAATGAGGGTGCAGGATTTACTCCTAGCATAAAAGTTATATGTTTGATCACTATCACTTTTTGTTGGATGAATGCAACAAATTTTCGAGAAGTTTTATATTGCTATGATATTATTTTTACTTCTTAATGACACTTATTGTTATGTAGAAATTTAAAATAATTCAATTAAAACATATTTGCATTAACACAGATTTAGTAATCATTTTGCTCAGTTACCATTGTAACTATGATATCATTTGTTATATACCATTTATATATGATACTATTTGTTTGATATAATGTTACCATTGTAACTATCTTCTCTTCAGAATGAACAAGAGAATGTTTATTTCAATTTGAATTCTATCAAAAAGATTTATCACTCAAACTGCATGCATAAGTTTTCTCTCTAGTATGAAGAATATAGTGTTTATTTAAAAAATATTTCATTGAGAAAGATTTATTTCACACACTGCATGTATGAGGTTTCATTTCAGTATGAACATAAGAGTGTTTATTTAAATTATATTTTCATTTAAAAGATCGATTGCGTACACTACATGAATAAGGCTTCTCTGCAGTGTGAACTAGATAGTGTTTTTTTAAATTAGCATTCTGTGAAAAAGTTCTATCACACACACTACATAAATAAGGCTTTTCTCCAGTA